GAGGGAGAGGGAGAGGGAGAGGGAGAGGGAGAGGGAGAGGGAGAGGGAGAGGGAGAGAGAGAGGGAGAGACACTGCTGTGAGCATCTCTCCCTCCTTGGGTGTACTGTTTCTTCTCTTCCTCCCTCCATCCCTGTATTTCTTCAAACTTCCTTACCTGTCTGTGGGCCTCGCACACAGCTCGGTTCCATAAGTCTGCAGGATGAAACAGATGGTCCTGAAGGACTACCAGATAACAGGGTGGGAACTACAAGATGGTAAGGCCATGCGTGTCCTGTCACTCAGGCAGGTGGCCCCTTCTGCCTTCCCTGTTGTGGGGTAGAGGAGACTCCAGTGGTGCAGATTTGTGTGTGTGTGTGTGTGTCTGTGTGTGTGTGTGTCTGTGTGTGTGTGTGTGTATTTCTGGGCACTGTGGAGACTAGAGGCTTGGATCCCCTGGAGCTGGAGTTACAGCCCATTGTGAGTTGGCTGGGTACTGGGAATAGAACTCAGGTCCTCTGAAAGAGCCGATACACACTTTTAGCCACTGAGCCACCTCTCAAATAGAGAAGAGCTGATTTTTTTTTTTCTTTTCACATGATAATGACACGTACATGTCTACTTAGTGGAGTAATTGAATGCTTGGCACTTGAGTCGAGCTTGCGATGTACACAGCCCACTAGAGCTGACCAGGGCCCAGGATTGGCTTATATTGTCTAAATGTCTCGAAAGTTAGATGCTATGGACTGGCAAGTTTAGCTAAGCTCTCAGCAAGGCCCTAGATACAGACCTGGATTTGCATCAGGGCTTCTTGCATGACTCAGCCGCAGAGCCAGCACCCTGCCTGCCTGCCTGCCCTCGATGTTTCGGTGAGATGGTGCATATGAGTGATTGATTAACTTAGGGACTTGCCACATAGTAATTTAGCCTAATTAGTCTAGTTCTGGATCACTTGTTTGTGTGCCTCCTTGCCTCCATACCTGCCTGCCTGCCTGCCCCTCTCTGGGCTGTGAGGGAAGGGAGCCAACGTGGGGTGTGTGGAGTGGCCTCTAGGAGGCCAGCATGGAAAAGAAGCTCCCTTCTCCAGGCCTGCGGGCTCAAAAAGCCTGAGGCCTCTCT